TCGGCAGCCCTGAATTTGGCCTTACTGTCGAACAGCGCAAGCGTGTCACCATTGGCGTCGAGCTCGCTGCGAAGCCCGAACTCCTCCTCTTCCTCGACGAACCCACCTCCGGTCTTGACTCCCAAAGCGCCTTCAACATTGTCCGTTTCCTGAAGAAGCTCGCCGCCGCTGGCCAGGCCATCCTGTGCACCATCCACCAGCCGAACGCCGCCCTCTTTGAGAACTTTGACCGCCTCCTACTCCTTCAGCGTGGTGGCCGCACCGTTTACTTTGGTGACATCGGCCAGGACGCCGTCGTTCTCCGCGACTACCTTAAGCGCCACGGCGCCGTAGCCAAGCCCACCGACAACGTCGCCGAGTACATGCTCGAGGCCATCGGCGCTGGCTCCGCACCGCGCGTAGGCAACCGCGACTGGGCCGACATCTGGGACGACAGTGCCGAGCTCGCTAACGTCAAGGACACAATTTCTCAGCTGAAGGAGCAGCGCATGGCTGCTGGTCGCACCGTCAGCGCCGATCTCGAGAAGGAGTACGCCTCTCCGCAGATGCACCAGCTCAAGGTTGTCGTCCGCCGCATGAACCTCTCCTTCTGGCGCAGCCCCAACTACCTCTTCACCCGCCTCTTCAACCATGTCATCGTCGCACTCATCACCGGTCTGACCTACCTCAACCTCGACGACAGCCGCTCCTCGCTGCAGTACAAGGTCTTCGTCATGTTCCAGGTCACCGTCCTCCCGGCCCTCATCATCTCCCAGGTCGAGGTCATGTTCCACATCAAGCGCTCCCTATTCTTCCGCGAGGCCTCCTCCAAGATGTACAACCCCATCACCTTCGCAAGCGCCATCACCATTGCCGAGCTGCCCTACTCCATCCTCTGCTCCGTCGCCTTCTTTTTGCCGCTCTACTTCATGCCCGGCTTCCAGTACACTCCCTCCCGCGCCGGCTACCAGTTCTTCATGATCCTGATCACCGAGCTCTTCTCCGTCTCCCTCGGCCAGGCCCTCGCCTCCCTCACCCCGACGCCCTTCATCTCCTCCCAGTTCGACCCCTTCCTCATGATCACCTTCGCCCTCTTCTGCGGCGTCACCATCCCCGCCCCGCAGATGCCCGGCTTCTGGCGCGCCTGGCTCTACCAGCTGGACCCCTTCACCCGCCTCATTGGCGGCATGGTCGTCACTGCTCTGCACGACCTCAAGGTCGCCTGCACCTCCGCTGAGTTCAACCCCTTCAAGGCTCCCGACGGCCAGACCTGCGGAGAGTACATGCAGCCCTTCTTCGAGCGCGGCGGACCTGGCTACCTGGCAAACAACAACACCCAGGACTGCGAGTACTGCGCCTACAAGATCGGCGATGAGTTCTACACGCCCCTCGGCCTGACGTTCGACAACCGCTGGAGGGACCTGGGCATCTTCATCGCGTTTGTGGGAAGCAACCTGATCATCCTCTTTGCTGCTGTAAGTTGACGCACCCCCAATCCTTTTGCCGAGTAATTACTAACACCCCCATCAGAGCAAGTTCTTGAACTTCAACCGCAGATAAATCCCCCCTTCCTCCCTCAACCCGTACATTATTTTCCTTTTTCGTATGTTGCATGGAAATGAAACGCGCACGTTGACATGCACGTTGTTCCGTCCGCCACACAAACATTTCCTTGTGAGGCAAAACCACTGGCATTTGCAGATACCATCAAATTGGAGTCTTGGGCGAATTAAAAGAGAAAGAGAGAATGTGTTTTGTTTTTGACGAGAAGATGGGAAAGATGAGAAGAAGATTAGAGAACGCCTTCATTGCGCGCGCAGCATGGCCTTGCATGGGAACATCACGCCCTTTCCACCAACCTGTCTGGCACCTTTGAGTGCCGACCATCATCATAGCATAGAGCTTTTACGTAATTTAATAGATGTGGAGAGATTGAAAGAACTTGATGGCTTGTTAAGTTGTGTTTGGGAGTGTCGGCCTGCAAGTCCTTGGAAGCCCGAGAGATCGATGGCCAGGTTGTCACAGCATCTACAATGTTCTTTGCGGTCTTTCATGTGTCATTCGCCAATTCGCATGCCGGTTGAAAAGTGAACCTAGTGACTCAGAAAAGTTTTCATTTTTGAACAGGCTTCAACTTGACTCGTCTACTGCCTCGCCGTTTTGACATGGAACGTTTCGGCTGTGAAGACTTTGCGCTGGAAACAACATATAAGGACTTGGCGCCAGAACACCAAGGGCACAGCGCTCTAATTGCAGGAAAGCGAATCAAGGCAACCGATCGCCTGATTATCACGCCGGCAAATTCAATGCGTGCGGTTACATACAAATACTTGACTCACTCTCGTCTGTGGACGGGCGTCTCTCATCTCACCATTGGCGACCGTCCATGGCTCAACTCACTAGCTGAAGCGTTAATCATGGCTTCCATCCCAGCTCAGAGGGCCTCGGACGACATGGCCTTCGACAATCGCGACGTTGCGGACTCGTGGAAAGATGCTCTAAAGACTTACAAGCGCATGGTGGGTGTCGATCTCGCACGCAACCGAGAACGCAGAGGTCATGATCAGCCAGAGCACCGCTGCCCTACAAGAGCTCAGATGAGCCCAAGATCTTTTGTTTGTCACCTGCCTACTCGGTATACAATCGGGGCATCATTTGAGAAAAGCGGAGAATATAAAACATCTATTCAAGTTGGATGCACCTCCGTCTACCTATTTATCCAAGTCCAGATCTTGCCCTCTTTTGACCCATCTTAGAACACAACACCTCCGCCGTCAACCACCAGATCACTTCCGTTGAAATAGCTCCCTGCCTTTGAGCACAGCATCACGACAACCCCGGCGACCTCTTCCGGCATGCCCATCCTGCCGGCTGGGTTCCTCTCTGCCCACATTCTTCTCGCCTCGGCCAGTCCCTCGCCCTCGTTCAGCACGGTGTCCATGTATCCCGGACTGATGCTGTTCACGTTGATCCCGTAGCCAGCCCACTCGGCCGCAAGACTGCTTTTCAGCATCAACAACGCCCCCTTGCTCGTGTTGTATGCCGACTGCGGCTGCGGGAAATTGACCCGGTGCGCCGAGATACTCGCCGTGAACACAATCCTTCCGCCGCGTCCCTGCCGGACCATGATCCTCGCAGCGGCCTGCGCGCAGATGAATGCGCCCGTCGTGTTGATGTCCAAAATCTTGCGGAACTGCGCGGCGGGCATCTCTAGCGCGTGCACGCAGCCCACGACACCGGCGAAGCACACCAGGTAATCGACCCCGCCCAGCGCCTCGGCAGCGCGCTCCATGGCCTTGCCGACGCCCTCTTCGTCCGTGACATCGACGGACAGGGCCTCGATCTTGGCGTCGGGGAAGGACTCGCGCAAGGACGCGATTGACTTGACTGCGTCTGCGGATGTGACGTTTAGATCGAGGAGCATGAGGCCGGTGAGCCCGTGTTGGAGCATTGCCCGCACGACGGAGAGGGCGATGGCACCGGTGCCGCCCGTGACGACTGCTGTCCCGGGGAGGGCGAAGCGGGAGATGGCGTCGTCCGAGACGGATGCTGTGCGAGTTTTTGCGCCGGGGAGACCTTCCAGGCCGTTGGCAAGGGTCATGAAGGGGATTGCCCGCTTCGAGAGCTGGTCGCGGGGCGTGGGGTCGCCCATTGTGAGAGTGGGTTGATTGCAAGGATCCCGCTAAATCGAGTGCCTTGGTGAAGCAGAGAAACCTGTAAGATGCAAAGCGAAGCCTTGGATGAAAGATCAAGTTGACGACAGGGTGAGGTTAAAATGCCGGGACGCTTCGGGGCGCTGGAAACCGGCCTCGATATGTAACTGTCATGCAAGGGGGTGACAGGATGCCGGAGACGGCGGGGTCGCGGAGGACAGTCGCCCGATGCGGGTCCGTGCTGCCGGCGGCGGGTTTCCGACGGCGGGGTCGTCCCATACGTCACGGCGCTGGGGTTGTTCAATTCAGTATCAGCATCTCTGTGGGTGAAAGAGCACTTTATTCTTTACTCGTGGTTTGCAGCTTGAAGCTCATCGAATGCCCATTCGAATGCTTGCTGCTCAGACTGTTGAGCCACACGCTCGGACGCTTGTGAAATCATCGTCCACCAAGTTGCGGTGCCCATACTAGGGATTCTTTCAGCTTGCAACCAAAAGCAGATCTCTCGTGCTTTAATGCTCCGCCTTCTCTTTCCCCAGCGGTTCATCACAGTACTCGTCCTGAGGTGGACTCGTTGCAATTTTGCATCGAAACGCGGCGGTCCAGCCGCTGAAATTCCAGCTTTTGGATCTGTGACGAAGATTATCATCATCTACGAAGAAGTGCGGGACACAACATCCATTTGCATGTATTGTGGAACTTTTCTCGACCTTCCTGACATACAGCCTCTCGATCGAGTCTGGAAGCAAGTGGGCTATGGCTTTGTCGAAAATCAAGTTGTAGAACGTAGCCCGTCGTCAATTGCGTCGGAGATGGTCCACCCAGAAAGTCGACAACAGAGGATATTCTGACTGCTGATGCCCACAACCCAAGCCTCATATGATCAGTCCTTGCTGAGCCGACCACAGCAGTGCAATCTCTGTCGCACTGTTTTCGTCCTCCTACCCGTTTATGGTTGAAGGCCATGCGACTTGCAAGGGCGAAACCGGTGTAGAATCTGAAATGAAGCGAAATTCCGGAGAAGGCTTTGCATGCACATTGCGTTCACACATCGCGTTCGTCCCATCTCGAATGCTGCATTGCGTCGGATTGTGGGAGGAGGGCGGCTTCACCAGATCGTTCCACTCCTAGAAGACCCCGTCAGGTACATGCAGAAATTTTCCAAGTTCGGGTTGGTATCGACGGCAAAATTGCTAATCGCACTCATTTTTTTCAATATAGGTTCAATTCGGTGGTTCATTAACAACTAGACATCTGCTCTTCTCGTATTGCGATATGTTTATCGACATCGTCCGGAAGTGACCTTTTGGTTACAATCAGTCCAACAGACTCCGGATTCCCCTTGGCGTCCAAACTGCAGAACTCACCTCACATGACTGGTAGATTCGTGTCCAAGCTGTTGTCGCAAAGGAGCTGCAGATAATTCGGCGACGGCGGGTCGGGATTGACGCGTTCGTCGCCACCCCGTTCCCAGCGCTTTTGCCAATCGCTCATTGTCCAATTCTTCCTCTCTTCAACCAGTTTCTCCACGTCCCATGCCTCGCCCACGTCAAAGTTGCACTTGACAATGGACTTGCCTGCCACGATATCTTGCACTGCTTGCGGGAAGCCTTCAAGAACGTACCACTTGGTCTCAGCTGCGTGATTGGCCCATCCGTCTACTCTCCTCGTAACCCACGACAATGAAGGGAGAATCTGCCTTTCCAAAGATAAGTCGACTGCGGCTTGCCACGCAGCGTCGCGTTGCACAACGGTGCGGAAAACCTCCGAGCATGCTTGGTCTCCCTCAAAGGTTAACGAGAAGGAGCCAGGCGGCATTCCGGCGGGTTCGAGTTCTAGGGCTTCCGAGATCCAGACTGCCACAGGACGAGAGATCAGACCCGCCAGAAGGCCATCGTTATAAATGTCTGGTTTCGCTGGAGAGATAAAAGTGCCCGTTTCGGTCTGAAAGACTGTTCTCCACATACTGACGCGGCGTTCCACGCGAAGGCGCGGGTTTTCCTGGCAGTATGGAATGAGACCTAGGCCGTGCGCTTCCGGAAATGCAACAGCTGCTCGATCTTCGTTGAGAATAATATTCCGAATGCTTAAGCGAGAGTCCCTAGGCAAAGAGCATAAAAACCGTATGGCGGTAGCCGCAGCTGAGTAGTGATGTTTAATGAGTCTTAGGTCGATCCCTCCGTTAGGAGTTTCCCACAGTTCTGAGATCTCTGCAGCAGTGGCGGGACACATATCGCGCAAGTACCGGTCAAGACTTTGTAATGTCGGGATCTCCCATGCAATGGGGTCGATGCCGACGATACCCTCAATTCGGGCCTCGTCCCAGTCGAACACCGCCTTTTCGAACTGAGAGAACTCTTCCGGTTCGAATCTTTGTTTGTTCGCTAAAATTATTTCTAGTGCAGAACGAACAAACTTGCGGAAGACGGACGGCGTTTCTCCGCAGGTTCCAGGATGGCCGATCTCAGGTCTCTCAATGATAGATGGCAACCGACGGCGTGTGCCACTCGAAAATTCCACGATGCGCCAGCCGTTGGGCCTACGCCGGAGAAAATCAACATACGGCGCAAGCCTCGGCTCAATTGCCGAGATATCCTTCCAAATATCATCGGGGACACTCAGGGTATCCGGGTAGATCTGGTCCAGCTTCGAGCTCTGCGTGAGGTGCAGCTCTGTCAGCGCCAGACCAAAGCGTCCCGCGGTTTCACGTTGCTCCTGATCCTCAGGGCAAACTGCCACGAACCTAAGAGCGTTAGACGACAGTGCTATACCGTTGGTTTCCTTTGCAATTTTCTTGCACGTAAGCCTCAACGACAGATCAATGCGTGCGCCGTCTGCACATTTGAGCTTATTGCTGTTGAAATCCAAGATGTAACCGCCATCGCACAGGAAGTATTGAAGGTAGATCAAATCCCGCAACTCGCGCGGGAGATCAAATAAATGAACCGTCATATCTGAAATTAAATGAGTGTTGCGGAAGAAGATTTTGGCGGTGAATGGCGAAGGTGGTGCATAGGTGGTGGGTATTGCTGAAGATATGAGGAGGAAGGGAGCGAGAAACAGTGTATGAATTAGGGAAGGTTCCAGGTGTTTTATATGCTAGAAAATATTGGTGTCGGTCGTGTTTCCAGCCACAGCTGTGCAGTGGAGATGATAAAGTTTCCGGCGCAATGTGACCTGATGGCCAGAAATCCTCAAGCTTACGTCATTCCGCCAACACTGTCCGCCACAGCATTTCATAACGATGACTCAAAGGCTCCGTGGATTTTGAGGTGCGCCAGAACACATGGTCTAAGGCAAGACATCATTCACAGGCAGTAGGAAGGCATTGTTTAGCGGGTCAAACGCTTTTATTGAGTTTGTAGTTACGACGCAGCCCCCCCGCAAAAAGACTACGGCAAAATTCACCCTATACGCGGGCACAATTCTGGAAACACTATATGGGCACCTTGACCTGTGCCCTCTACCAATTAAGGAAAACAGTACAGAAACCCCATACGTTCCTGCTGGCAGGCAAACCCTCTGAACGTCACCTACAGTTCTAGTTAGACTCAGGTGTACCAAGAAACAACGATCTTACCGCACAAAGTCGAACGCGCGCCCTGGCCGAATAGACCGGCGGAACAGCAACGGCGCCGGCCGCGCGGCGCGGGGCCGGCGGCGCCGCACGTAGCGGGGCCGATCATATCGGGGCCGAAGGGGTCACTGAGGCTCTCATGGCCTGGCCTGGCAGAGATTAGCATACGCTCGTGACCGCGAATTGGCTGAAACCAACTGACGACAGCTTCGCTGAACCTTCCAGCGAGGTGCTGCGCTGACTTAGATCAGCCTAGGTCTAAGATGCAGAAGGAACTTTGACTCACAACGCCGCCACAAGAGAGATGACTCCTCAACCAAAGAGGTCGTCTGCGCTGACTCGGATCAGCCCAGGTCTAAGATACAGAAGGAACTTTGACTCACAACGCCACCACACGAGAGATGACTCCTCAACCAAAGAGGTCGTCAGAAGAGGTTCTCACAGCCAGAAGCATAAAAACTCTGCTGCTTAGAGAACACATTAGCAATGAGCGAGAAGCATGGGGATTGATGCAATACCTACGCGCAGGGCCTTGTGCCCATCCCTCTTCCTCTTCCTCTTCCTCATCCTCAAACCCATGTTAACAACCTGTTATCATCTAAGAAGTGTGAACCAAGGAGTATCACACAAAGCAAAGGGCATACCTACAACCCACAACAAATCCTGAAGCTTTAATTAGTAAGACCCATAGGATTTCATAGAAAACATACCTTCACCATGTCCGCACCACAAGAGATATACAAGAACGCCAATCCCTGAGGTGAAATATTAGTCTCCTGAGAAGGTATAGAACATAAGAGGGACATACCCCGCGAGGCACGCCCTTCTGCGAGGGAACGGCTGAGGGCATCGCTACGCAGAACAACATCCATACGATAAACGAAGCCCTCGAATTCGGCAAGCACTCTTTCGCCGATCAGCAGCCTGTATTAAGTCACATTACTATATATACTCAATAGATTCAGAGGTCTTTCTTACGTATCGTCAGGGTAGCCATAGCTAGAGCCCTCATGAATACCCCTAGAGGGGACCCTCTCTACACTGCGATCAAGGCGATAAACGACAGCCCTAGACGCCTCCGCGCAGAGGCTACGCGCGTTTCTAGCCATCCTGAGGAGTGGCCCTTCTTCGCGCAAGCCCTCCGCAATGCTAAGGCAGAGGCAGCCTAGGCCCAGACCCAGTAGGGCTTCTGAGTAGTGAGCTAATGTCGAATACTCCTTGGGGAAACAACATACGAACATCGGTGAGTGCGCCTTGCGCCGACTGCTTGTGAAACTGTTAGTCAAACGCACCTCGGAGATTGAGAATCGTGACTCACTTACACAGAGAGAGCGTTGCTGACGACGGCACAGCTGCTGCTGGGCTTGTCAGCTCAGCGTACCACTTTGTTCGCGGACGACGCAAGGCATACCGAAGGCGTCAGCCGGCCCGATCGAACAAGAAGACTGCTTGAACCACTCAAGTCAACAATGTACTAGACGGCCGACACATGGGGCGCTGTTCACTAACGACAGTGACGACTTGCTTCCAAAAGAAGCCACTCTGGTAAGCAGGGTTCAGTGGTGCAGCAGCTATGACGAAAAGAGTGTGTCCCGACTTACATGGCGGACGGCGAAGCAGTGATGGGGACGGTGTTCTGGTCGATCGTCAGCGGTACGGTCGGCAGGCTGTGCGCCGGAGGTGGGCTCACTGACGGCGGCGCGGGTGATGCGCGAGAGAGAGGATAGGTCGACAGTTCAGTAGTCTGCTTATGAAAGTGTCAGCAGGGAGACGTTCCTTGAGAGCCGGGCAAACGGTCGACGCACCAGTAATTGAGTAATTGAGTAATCACAAACTACATCGTTGCCGAAGTGAAGTTGAAGATGGTGAAGTTGTCTGGTGCTTGGAGACGGGTCAGCACGGTTGGACGAAACGCGGAGAGCAAGGAGAGAACGCGCTGACTGACGTGCACATGTAAGTGCGGCTGAGGTTGGGAGAGCTGCGTGAGACAGAAATGGTCAGCCAGCTTCTCGTTGCTGAGGCGATGGGTAGGACGGACGGACATGGTCGGAGACTTGGGAGGTCGTCAGGCTGGTCCAACTCGAACGTCAAGATGATTCAATGATCGGAAGGGGGAAGACTTACTTACGATCACGTGACCGAAGGCTGTGTGTATTGTCAGGAGGCACGGAGTTAGGAGGTCTGTCGCTCTAAGCAGGTAAAAATCACAGTGAACGGCCAGAGGCCTGCGGTTGAAACATTTGGATTGATGGAAGCTGTCTACTCTATCTAGCTTTCGGCCTGATGGACAGCGATGTTGTTCCCCCAGCCCCAGCGTAAGACCCCCCCGTTGGCAGGTTGCCAAAGTCAGGGTTGGCGAGGCGTTTTGCCGTCCATGCGAACTGCTCGAGCGAAAAGTATCGGATCGCGAAGTTGGCAGCCAGCTCGGGGTAGTCGGTGACCAGGACGTGGAAACAGAAGACATGCATGGCGGCCTTCAGGTGCTTCCTCGGGGCGGCCAACAAGGGACATTCCATGAAGAGGTGCCTGGCGTCGTGAGGACGGGCTCCGCAGGGGCAGGCAGAGCTGGGGGCCAGCTGAGACGTGTGAGTCAGTCGAGTTTTGGCGACAGGACTTGGGCTTGAGAACGTGGAGGGGGAAAAAGAACAGAGGTGTGCAGAAAAGTCGATGAGAGGCGACGACGCCCGGGTTTGGGAACGTGGAGGGACGAGAACAGAGTTAAGACGAAAGTTCGATGACGTCCGATAGCGAAGAGAACGGTCGAGCAGACAGAAAGCTGACTGACAACGCCGAACCGCGGTGAAAACTCTGAACTTGTCCCGCCAGGGCCACGCAACCCGTGTGGGCTCATCGGCTGTGCAAGACACTCGTGACAGGATGTGCCCACAAAGAATGGCGCCAGAGGCGTGGCGAGCGGAACATCGGGAGAGGCGTGTGATAAAGGCCAGTGGGAGAGGTGTGTGTGAGAGAGACAGGGGGTGCGGGAGAAGGGTGTAAGCCGTGGAGCGGTGCCCTCAGCGGTGTGAACAGATTTCCACAGTTTCGTCCCGCAGATGGATGTGGATGGATCGAGGGTGGAGAGCCAGGTAGTGAGGGAATTAAGAAGAGGCGGGGGGACGTTGGAGGGAAGAGGGAGGGAGGGAATAGGGGGAGAGGGAATAGGGGGAGAGGGAAGAGGGGAGGGAAGGGGGAGAGAGAGAGGGGGGGAGAGAGAAGGGGGGAGAGAAGAAGGGGGGAAGGAAGCACAGCACGTACCTTGAAAGACATGAAATTCAAGCATGCGTTGAGACCATTGACACCCGTCCGGCAATGCAGCAGGATAGTGCTCTGAGCCTTGAGCAAGTCTTCGTAGATCTTGAAGTTATGTTTCCCCCACGTCCCTCTGAGGGCTGGAGGGAGCTTGTTGAAGTACCGATTCTCGCAGCTGCGTATGTCGACAAACACGCCCCAATCCGTCTGCATCTGGTCTGTGACGAGGTCGTCTGCAATGGACTTGATGAGTCGTCTGAGCTTCCTGTACCTGGCACCCTCGTCGACCGGCTTTTCCAGCTCGAGCCGTTCTTTTGCCGGTTGCAAAACCTTGCTGTGGGCATCAGTTGCGGCAAGCACATAAGGGTGTTGGTCCGGGTAATCCCCACTGGGCTTCAGCAACTTGCCCTCGTACCGCGTCTCCAGGACCTGAGCCCAGTAGGTTCGCACAAGCCTGGTTAGGTAAACAGCAATCGTTGGCACTGCGAGCTCCTTGAGGAGGATGAAGCCGGTGGTCATGGCATAAGCCCCAGACAGTTGCTTCAAGAAGTAGTTGTGCTCGCTCTCGAGCCTGTTGACAAGCTTGGCACTGATCGAGAACCGGCACCTGGCACCCGGCGGTTTCCCAGATTCGGTGTACTTCCTCTCGTCATACCCCGCGAACCAAACAGGACATGCGTAGCTGATGATGGGGAGAATAGCGCTAGTGTATCTGGCCAGAAGCTTCTTGAGTCCTGGGCCAAAAGTTGACCCAGAAATGCGACGTAGGTTGAACATTTTCAGCCGGGCCTTGTTCACAATCTTTCGAGGCAGGGTCAGTCTCAAGACAGACGGTGCTCATCGGCAGGCTCGCTTACCTTTGTCACGTGCGTTTCCCATGTCAGACGATAATCCAGCCAGAGCCCGAGAATCTTGATGGCCTTTTCTGCCTTCGGAGGAGCATCTTTGATTTTAGGCATGCTGTCGTTGAATTTCTGGCCTGCCCTACAGAGATGTATCACTTGTGTCTTATCAGCGGAGAATGTGGTGCCATCCTTTTTTGCAAAGTCAACCAAGGCGTTGTACAACTTTTCTGCGGCCTTGTTGCTCTTCTCGACGGAGTCGGAGACGATTAAGAAGGTGATATCGTCAACAAATGCGGCAATCAGAAAACGCTTCAGTTGGTACAGAACAGCGTTTTCGTTAGAGACCAATCCTTTATCCCTTATGAGCTTGTTGAGCAGAGGGATCGAGAAGAAGAGAAAGAGAATGGGGGACAGAGGGCTTCCTTGCGGGATGCCGATGTTCACCCAAAACTTCTTCGACATTGCTCCCTGCATGCGGACGGTTGTGCTTCGGTCAGACAAAAACGACCAGACGAACATGATCATCCAGTCCGGAACGCCATACTCCCTCAGGATCCGTAGCAAGTGCGCACGGCGAACGCGGTCGAACGCGCCCTTGATGTCAAGGGCGTAAATGGACACATAGCGATCCTTGTCGCCATCAGTCCAGCTGTTGTAAGCAGCGTTGATGAGTGACTCGAGAGCTTGGGTGGTGTTTCTCCCTTGGCACCCATACTGTTCGAAGGGAAGTACGCCGGAGTTCAGCAGCCAACGCGTGAGTCTGACTGCGAACAGCTTTTCCAAAATCTTGGCTATGGGGCAGAGCAGGGCGATGGGCCGATAGCTTGTCGGAAGTTTCGGGTCCTTGTGAGACTTTGCGATCATGACCGTAATCGCTTCCTTGAACCTGTTTGGGTGATAGCATAACTTGAGACAGGCTTGCAGAGGCCGCTCAAAGACATTCGTCAGGAGGTCTTCGTCGTCATCTTTCGAGGGCAGCAGCATCTTCAGTGCGTCGATAGATATACCGGACTTTCCCTCGGCCTTATGAGCAGGCATACGGCGGACCGTGTCGGCCAGCTCTCCAGGCTTGAGATTCATGAGCGCCGTGTCTTCACTGTTGATCTCACCTGAAAGATCAGGAAGTTCCAGTGCGGGTGGCTGCCCGGTGGCTTCACTGGAATCAGGCCAAAGCTTGCGCACCAGCAGCTCAGCCTTCTCGTCAACCGTCTGGTAATACTTTCCGTGTTCCTCAAAGTCAGGAATATCCGTCTTAGGAGATGCCTCCGCCAGTCGAATGGCCAGGCAGGCCAGCTTGTGAATACACTTTTTCCGATCAGCCAAATACATGCGCCAGTTCTTGGTCCGCTGGTGGCGCGTCTCTGTGGGCGAAGCTTCCGGGTTACTGGGTGCACTCTGAGGCGTAGCGGCCGCGCCTGGCGCCTTGTTCTTGCGGGAGGAGGCCTCTCGATTGTCGTTGCGGTTCTCTTGATCCTGGAACTTGTTTGTCCTGCCCGGAGCTCGATCTGCAGGATCAGAAGGCCTGACTCTGGTGCTGATGTCGGGAGGCCTGCTCTTAGGAACGAGCTTGTCTCTCCCATTTTGGAGAATCTTGTCTGCCTCGGCGAAAAATCGGTCGAGGTCGGTCTCGGTGTTCAACGGAAGCGACTCAATTCCCTTCAGCTTTGGCCCGACTTCAGCGCGCCAGGCCGCACGCGTCACCTCCTGCCAGCGATAGCGGCAATCAGTCCGGCGATTAGGCTGTACTCTGAGGGTCGTCTCCAAAACCCGATGGTCCGATTCGAAGCCCTTGACGCCGTCGAGCTTCACGTAGGACCGAACAAGATACTGGAGTGGTTCCGACGCAAAGGCCAGATCAATGGTTGACTCGCTGGAACCAGATTGATCTGAGCGGGACCACGTGCTCGTGATGACTTCTGGATCCAAAAGACACCTATAGTTAGCCGCCGTGAACCCTGCTGCCAAATTCCTCGATTCATCAGTGATGCGACCAGCAGCAAGACTGTTCCCACTCCATAGGGGGTGGTGCAGATTGAAGTCTCCCACAAATAGGACCAATCCCTTGATAGTGCACAAGTGGAGTAGGTTCTCGATGTTCAGACTGCCTCGCGATCCGTTAGGGTGGTTGTAAACATTGTGTATGAAGATTGGCGCGAGCAAAGCTGTGTTGAGCCTCAGAGTAACGAGAAGCTTTTCGTTCTTCTCGTTGTGATGCCAGTCAATGCTGTAGTCGGCTTCGGGAATCGCCTTGTGCACTAAAAATGCAACTTTGTAGAGCGGTTTTTCCTTGCAACTGTCCCCCAAGTCTTTGTCGCGCTTCACCCGAGATTTTGGCTTCAACTTGGGCCGCATTTGAGGATTGTTGTATGCGTTGAGATCTACTCCACCCTCCGTGTGGTAGATCAATCTGAAATGCTTGAAGTTACGACCAAGGAATGGCAGATCCGGCGGAGGGTCCTGAATCGCAACAACATGCCACTGCTGTCGCATCTTGACCATGTGCTTGCTCAGCTTGAGCACACGCTTGCGCGCTTGCTTGACATTGATTTGCGCGACTCGAAGGTCGTCTACCTTCCAGGACTTTACGTCGCCTATACCTGGAAGGCGAGCATCATGGGCAGATGCGCCATCTAACGTATTTGCCATGGCGTCTCATAGAAGAGGTTGCCAGCGACTGAGACTCAGGAATCCCAGGGTTAGTGGGCAACGTAAGCTAGTGATAAGAAGAGCACTCACGTAGGATCAAGACGACATATGTTCAGTAAAACTATTTGATGACTGACTAGAGCAACAATGCAGCATGCTCACTTGTTGTGCGGAAATTTTGGACGATAATAAGGAGGCATACGTCCTGAAGTGGCACTTGTAAAATTTCTCCTTTCCGTTGGAGAGCGAGGAACAAAAAAAAAAGGAAAAAGAACACGACCAAAGGCATAGTCTTGCCTCGGGGTACCCCATTGAGTCTGCCGTCAGCTCCACTTGGCCCTGACAGCAACACGCAGAGATGCGGCCGAAGTTCTTTCTCATAGTCACCGCTTGTTTGTGATTCATCCCCTCCCCAAGGATCATCATGGCCTCGCCGAGTCACGCCGATGTAGTTGAAAGATGATGCCGATGGAAGCCTGCCTGTGTTGACTACTGCGTGCAGTGACCAAGTGGGCTCTTCTGGGGTCCATGTCGCGCTGGATCTAATTATGTTGATCTCAGTGGACCTGCTGGCAAAACAACGGGATCCCCTGACAAAGACGGGACCATAACGATGGTATGTATACCTCCGTCTACAACGCAATCCCTGAATGATTCGAATGAGTCTACTTCCAACTGGCCGACGAACTCCGGTCCTGGACCAGAGTACCATGCACTAGTTAGTGGACGTAAAATCCTTCCTTGACCCATGAGCACGAAGTCACAATGATACAGGGCCAGGGGGTGTGGTTGTTTTGCACATACACGTTCACGAGGCGGTATCTGGTCGCAACTAATTTTTCTGCGCCATTTTATTGTTGGGGAATAATGGATACGGTCTGATCTCACCGACATTTTACCGTCATAAAGTGCGGCGGAGAAGTGCTTGATGGTGGTGTGCTCGAGGTTTTGTTGAAGCTCGAGGTAAAGGACATCAAATCCAGAGCATATCACGACGCTCGCTCACAAATCGCCACTCCTTCATCACACCGTCACTTCTGGTTTTACAGTACGCAATAGTGCACTGAAGCCAAGTCGGTCTCAAATCAAACGTCTTGGTGATATTCATACGGGCTTCGCTCATCAGGCTAAGCCCTTGATTGACCATCATGAGCCCCGACGCCAGCCCCGAAAGAATCCGACGTAAGTCATCATCCAATGCTACCATAGCTTATCCAGTCTACTGACCTCGAACTTTCTGGCAGTCATGCAACAGCAATTGGAAGACCATCTCGATGATCTATCGATGCAAATCAACAACCTTACGCCTGAGTCTTGTCAACGGTTATGGGGAAGGATCAAGCCCAACCTTTTGCCCATCCCGCCTCCTCCCCCTCCCCGGCCTCCGCCTGCCTCACCCTCCTATGGCCACAAACTCAATCGCGAGTTCTTCGTCGACGTGATCAACGAGAGTGTTACCAACTGTTTCCACCGCATCTTCGCAACACAAGCGCCTCCGACGCCACCCACCATCAAGCTGAAAATACCCTCCAAGTCGGATCGCGATAAACTTCGGCTCCTGGAACCACAGCAAATCACTAACATGCTTCGGGAAATCAAACCCAAAGGCCAGCCATTCGAAGCAGTGACAGGGGTAACAAAGCCACACGACAACAGCATGGTACTAACGATTTCCGTGGCCACGGTGGAATCCAAAGCTGCGATCCCTGCCTACTTGATCCAAATCAAGAAGAAATTCAATTTCCACGAGATCACTCATGTCCCCGACCTATTCTGGGTGAAGGCTGAGAGCTTCGACTTCTCAGAAGAAGCGCACAACGAACTAAGAGTATGGAGGGAAGACCCCAATCAACTGCACCGATTGAGGGAAGAGTGGAAAGTTCACACCCTTTGCCACATAAGATATAGCTATCGCAAGCTGGCTTTTGGTTTCACGGATATGAATGAGGCCCTCAACATGTCCCGAACTGGGATCACCATTTTGGCGCACACTGGGTGGATGAGGTGAGTTCACCACTATTTGGTTGATGCATAAGAATTGAAGCACTGATTCACAGACTCTAGACCTTTTGACATCCGCGGTATCCCCATCATCTGTGTCAAATGCTCCAAGCCTAGACACATGAAGGATCAATGCGTAAAGGAGATTCCCAGATGTGGCGTATGTAATGGCAGCCATTGGTCATTCGGTTGCAAGCTGCTATTTTGCTGCCCTAATTGCTATGATGCCTTGCAGTCCCGAAAGGATAATGGAGACAGTGGGTTTACTTTGGACACAAACCACGCAGCCTGGTCCCCAACATGTCAACATGCAGAATCACGTAAAATGCATGAGGAGGCCAAGAGATACGACCAGGTGTCCCCAGGGTGGGCGTTACGCAACTTTCAGAATCCGCCTCCAGAAGCTGCAGCCAAAATGATGGCTGAATCAGCCGTGGTTGCCGCTCTGACCAAGCTGAACCTGGACAACAGTTCCAAGGAGAAATGGAGGGCGACAAAGGGGTCAACGCCCAGAACTGCCCCTTCTGCTGCTCAAGATGTCACCCCTGCTGGTGCTCAGAATGGGGGCAATGCCGTTGACCATGACCAGTTCGCGCCTGGTCAGGACGAGGTTGCTGCCGGCCAGGATCAGGCCACCAACGTTCCAGGCCAGCACGCTACCACTCAGAGCCAGGAGGCCGTTTCCGAACAAGGAACCGCCACGCAAAACCAACGTGACGTTACTGAAAGCCACCTTAGCCCAGGAGCTGAGACTGTTGCGCCAGTGGACAAACCCGCCATCAACCAACAGCAACTTCAATGCCGATCGCGGCCGATGCCGCGACTGGAAAAGCGCCACGTCGACGAACCATTACCTGAAGGGGGGGATCAAGATTCAGCGAAACAAAAAGGGAACACTAAGAAGCGGAAAGTGCGGAGGGAGCAGCTAGATTTGGATGCAACCTTCAGCGAGAGAGACGAAGGGGAATAGGATGTTGGGCAGCGTGCGCATGGAATGGGAGCAGGTTCCCAAGAACAAGGTTCGCGCCACCTTGATCCGGGGGATTTCATAGATGGGAATCACTTCGGGTACTAGTCTACTGTAGTCTTCAATAGAATCAATATCACTTCCGCGCCGCATTCAGCTCCGTCGCAGCTCGTTCCCAAGTTCACTTCCTTATTTTGATAACCCCCAACTATGGAATGGGATCGTTGCTTCTTGTTTTCGTTTTTATTTTCCCTTGTGCTATTGCATCTCGTCTTGGAGAAATTGGATGTGGCTAGGCTGAAAAGGTACCTAGAAGAATCATCAGCCTTCCATGCTTTTCCAATGGTTGGAAAGTTTCCTCGGCTTGTTTTCTCATAGCTTGCGCTCTCTTTGCGGGATGTGCTGCGACTTCCTAAACGGCAAGAGACTTTTGATACAATTTGCCTGACTACGTTTCAAACTTCTACACAGGCAGTACGCCTCATGAACTGTATCTCTTTATCCATCGCTCATTGCAACATCTGGCTGTCAATAGCAAATAAGTGCGGCAAACACACGTCAAGCAGAGTGCATTTGGGCAAGAGAATGTTTGAGATGGTGTTGGCGAGGGAGCACATCACTTGCTTTTTCCTTCGGCTCCAATCCCGTCACTAGTTGTCATCTAAAGTTGCTGCTACTGGCCTTCAAACCGACCAGTAATCCCTGACTGCAAGTTCTTTTCTCACATTGGAAGAGCTTCAGATCTCAGGCATCCGAATGAGCCAGCGGACACTGTCAAGACATCCCGTCACAGGCACGTAGACTGAATGTTTCTGTCACCAAACAACAACCAAGGAGGTTTCCTATGACAGGACCCTCACTGGCCGGGCATACGTGCTCCTAGTTTGCGGTGTTACGTAGCAGTGTGAGGCGCGGGAACCGGATCCTCCGGCCTACAATACTAAAGTATCCTAGTAGGTCCACGTATATCAAGGTAGAGAACTATGCCGAGAATCGGAGGTCTTACGTGTCTTCGTGAACCGGTGGCACTAAGTTTAAACGCCCCCAGCCACCAATTTGGTGCAGCCGAGAATTAGAGGGGCGAACTCGGCACATTCGCACGATTGATTGAAAGCTCTGCCCACTGACCTCTGACCCTCTGATCTATGCCACCTGAGGTGAGGTAACCGGGCGTACAAACTCTCCCATGCCCAGGTGTGGAACATACAAGGGAGTTTCAAAGTTTCGTGTGGGCCAGAGCCCTCAATGTCACGTTTGACATTTTGCAAGTTCAACCCTGTTTTTGCATTCTCTTTCGAGCCCACCAAACCAATCCACGTGTACTATAGTAACGTGTTCAAAAGCTTCAAGAAAAACCAGGGATCAGACCGGGGTGGAAAGGAATGTCCATAAGTGGCACAGCATTGACACCATGATGGGGAGGTATGACACAGCGGGCCAGAGACTTTGCGTAGCTCGTGTACATCGAACCTTTGAATACAGCAGTCCTCTGTCCTCTGTCCTCTGTCCTCTATCCTCTGTCCTCTATCCTCTGTTCTCTATGCTGCCCTCCTTCTGCTAGCTGAGCTTCCTTCTGCTGGCTGGGCTTCCCTCTACTAGCTGGCTTAGCCCTGCCCTCTACAAGTGAAGCCTTAGAAGTAGAGGATAGGCCAGCAGACGGAGCGCAAGCCAGAAGAATGAGGACAGAAACAGTGTTTTCACAGTACAGCAGAAAATATCGTGAGTTTCTCTGAGTAGCCAATCACTAGTGGTTACCTCAGTGTTAAGCCCCCAAAGGGTGCGCCTGCGCCGGTTAACCAGGGGGTTGCGCCGCGGAACAGTGCCCCCCACGAATGACTGGCTTACATCTGCTGGGACAACTGGAACTTGGTCTATCAGGCCGTATTTCATGCGGCAGTCGAGTCCGGTGAGGTAGCATTCGTCCTTCAAATGTACCAGGACTCGATCGACCTACAATGACAACGCAGCCACGCCATTACTCGTCGACTTTGGCTTTCTCCACATCAATGTCACAAGAGAGCTACAAACTGCA